TTTTATACTCCCCTCCCCCTTCGACTCATTAGCTTTTTTGAATAACTTTATTTAGTACTAGTAATTTTTATACTCCCCTCCCCCTTCGACTCATTAGCTTTTTTGAATAACTTTATTTAGTGCTAGTATTTTTATACTCCCCTCCCCCTTCGACTCATTAGCTTTTTTGAATAACTTTACTTAATGCTAGTAATTTGCATACTTTAAAAGTCTTCTATTTCAACATTATTAAACATTTATTATAAATATCTGTAAACCGACAACGCTGTCAAGAAAATTATGAAAACGAGAATAAATATCGAAAGATATTTAGTAATTTATGCCTAGAACATCAGGCTAGTAATTTAGTCGAGTAGCAAATAATTTAATAACTAAACTTAAATAAAAATTTAGTCCAATAAACGCTGATATGACGGCTGATAGAGATGTATGGAGGAGCAGCACATACTGTGCCGACCCTCCGTAAGGGGTAAGGGCAAGTGGATGATGATGATGATGATGAGTCCAATAAACGCAAATCATATAAACTAGAGGATTTTAACTACTAAATTATTCGGCACTCTATTAAATAAATAGCCTAATACAAAATATTCAATAAACTTGTTTCTACTATTAGTAGAGACCCAACAGACGTTATGAAGGAAAACCCGTCTTTTTAGCTATCAGATAATTTAGCTAATTTACAATTGTTTCCTTACATTTTAAACATTTTGTTCAGTAATTCTGAATCTAAATTCAATGACCCGCCAAAAATACATACAAAATTTCACTTTTCAAAGTACAGTCACACTCATATATACGATTAATTTAAAAATACCTTTTTTAAAATTATTTCAAATTTACTTAATAATTGTTTAAAATAATTGTAACAGCTGCGAGGTGCAATTATAAAACTTTCATACAATATTCTTCACATACAATACTTGAGATAATAATAATTTTAAAATTAAATTTAGTTAAAAGAAATACAAAAATAAAACTATTTAAAACAAAATTAGGACAAGAGAAATTGAATATTTCATATTTAAAAAAGAGAAAATATAAAGTTATCGGAAAGTTAGTGTTAAGTATAGTTAAAAAGAAAAAAACTTATTAGACAGAACAGACATTAAGAAATTATTTTCATTCGTGTTAAATATAAAAAACCATATAGTTTCTAGAATTAACGCGTTTTCTAAACTTTTCAACTTATTTACATAATAAAGTTAAAAAGTTTGTACACTTAATTCCAGGAACTACCAATAGTTATATAAAAAATAACATTTTTAATCAACAAACAAATTATTAAGATAGGTATTAAAATAACGTTAATAAGAATGAAATATTCGCGGGACACAACTAATCATTCATAAACCTTAAAACGTAAACGTTAAGTACTGAATTCTGCCCACCTCAAGTCCGACTGTACATTTAAAGAAAACTATATACTAAATCTAAAATATTAAAAATTACACTAATTGTGGCGTTACAAAATAAACGAGATTACACTTCTCAAGTATTCATTGTAAAGTGACATTTCAAAACTTCAATGATACAAAAATAAACATTTTTAAAACATCAAGTTTCAGTTTGTCTCCAGCAACACGCACAGAGAGTAGACACAATCTGTAAACAAGGAAAGTATAAAGTACAGTCGCGGAAACACGCGGTATTCCACTTAGAAAAAGCCTTGTTTTTAACAAACATCTTATTTATAACCGTTATGTAAACGAAAGGATAATAATTAAACGGTATTATCCGTATACCGACCGATTTTTTCGTAGGTATTTTATTAAATACTGTTATTGTTGTGTCCTGTTTGTTATTCCCCGTCTCAATACGTATAAAACATAAGGGCCTGTCCCACTAAATAGTTAATTGTCTGATAACAATCCAACGTGTAAAATATGTGATGGAAATACAGGATTTTGTTACTCTATGTGTCAGTGACATCATTTTTAAGCTATCTGAGCCTCTATCAGCCAGTGATGACAGACCCTTAAACAACTAGTTTTTATATGACCGCGAGATTCCCCAACTGTACGTTATAATGCTGGGGTGCGTAACTTTTTCCAGTTTTAACAGCCGTATTATTTCCTGTTATATTAATTTTTTATTACAAATAACAACGTTAGAGCAGTAATTTTTTTTTAGTTGCATTAAAGGATCGCCTTTTTTTGCATGGGTTTGTATTGCAGTTAGTTATTACTAAAACCGGCACTATTTATACCAAAACGCGGTATAAACTAGTAACTTAACAGTACGGATTTACTCAGAATAGTTAATTGTAAATTTCCACATTTAAACTGAATAATTACAAATTGATTCGGTGAATCCGGCGATTACTAAGAAATCTACACTAAGGGGTACCTTAAGCAGTAATTAAACTGTGTGTACCTGTTAAATCTATTCGCTGTCATCACTAAAGTTGTATTTAGCTTGCGGCCGCGCGCGAGCCTTCCCTCGCGCCGCCACCGGACTGCTCGATATCACCTCGTCATCTTCTGAATCACTCTCCGCCTTCTTCTTTGCTTTCTTCTTAGGATTCGCCTTTTTATCCTGAAGTTTAAAAAAGTTTTTATTAGCGAGATATGCGAGATATATATATATATATATTCAGTTATAACTGTCGAACAGTACAGTTTAAATTGTGATTGTGAACAGTTAATTTAAAACGTAGACAATAAAATAGATCATGTGTACTAATATCATAAAAAAAAGATTTGTACTACTGAAATAACTACTTGGCCGATTCCAAAAATTCTTGCACCATTAAAAAGCTATGTTATCACTGAGTAACAAAGACTTCATTTTTACATGTTTTTTTTAATTCACGCGGACGAAGTCGCGGGCAACAGCTAGTTATAAAGGCAAGTTTAGTAGAATTTAATAGATAACAATTTTAACTTTTGTTGTCACATTTGTTAAAACAGACATTTCATAAATTCAAAAACTACAAATTCGGAATAACCACATCAACGTCTACAATATTAACATATTCTGAGGTAATAAGAATTTAAAAAATAAATTTTCCCATTATTACCTTTTTAGTATCAAATATGCTATCATCATCGCTATCCGCGCTTAACAGAACTTTGGCGGGCCTCTTCTTGGGTTTATCTTCTTTCTTCTCCTTGCTGTTGGTGTTGAGCAGTTTCCTTTTCTGCGCTGGCTTCTTCTTGGGAGAGTGCGCTGGCGCGTCCTCGTCACTGGACAGGACAGTGGCCTCCACGTGGTTGTTAGGTTGCTCCTTCTTTGTCTCTTCTATTAACGAGTCGAATAAACAATCTGGAAATATTTCATGAAACTGTGAAAATTTATGTTTAATTTTTAATTCTAAATTATTACTTTTGTAAGAGACATATTAGTACTTCCTTTGAAATACATGAAATTTGGTATTAAAAACATAACAAATTTATTTCGTTGTTATAATAAAAATGTTTGATATCTGCCCAGTAGTTTTTACGATTATCGAATACATACAAAAATAAAAACATTTCGTCTTTATTATAGGTAATTTATGTAAAATTCATACCCGAGTCCATTTCAGCAGGTTTTTTATTAGCGTTTTTCTTAACATTGAAGTGATCATCATCATCATCGTCAGTGAGCGCCGCGGGCTGGTCCCCGGCAGCGAGCTCGCTGTCCACCAGCTCCAACTCCTCGTTAGACTCTGACTCCTCGGAACCATCTTTGTATTTCTGCACCTGGAATGTACATTATTTATTTTAAATTACTTTATAAAGTAAAAGATCAGATAAAAGGAAGACGATTCGAATGGGATATTCTTGTTAAAAAAACTGACTGTTGAACGCGACTTAGCCCGCGTAGTATTAAAAACCTACGAAAAACTAATACTACTGTTAAGAAGAAAATTAGTACCGCACTATAGAATTGGCGCAACACTAGATTATTGGCATAAACGTCACATCTCTGACAGCTGTCAATGTCATTATGAGGATATATTCGCGCGCATTCCTGGAGAG